AGAGATATCTAGATTATATAATGATATTCAGATTATATAGTAGTATCTAGATTATATAATCTAACCTAAGTGGGATACCACCTGCAATATAATTATATTGCAGGTAGTATCCCACTAGACTGTCTAATTAGTTGTAATTAAAATTATTCACTAAATATTACCGTATTGTTATAAAATATATATAAATTTAATATATGCATATTTTATATACCAGTAAATGTTAGTTTAAGACAATGATAATTTTCTGAATCTGATTATTTAAATTATAATATAACTGTTTTTATTAAATCATTTATATTATTTTTAGAAAATATTATTTTCTAATTAAATTATTATTACAACTGATGGTTGAAGTTTAAAATTCTAAGATATATTTTTAAGTTTTTTTTTTATAGTTAGCTTAGAATTTAGTATTAGTTTTGATAATTAAAATATATAAATAGATTTGATAAAGTTTATATTTTTTTTAAATTGAGGTCTCTAATTTCAAGCTTCAGTTGTGATAATTATTAAAAGTTTATTGTATTTAAAAGTTAATTATTTAATAAAGATTTAATCAGGTCACTCAATCACTAATTGATGATATCTCAAATAACAAATATTTAATATATAAGGTATTTATTAAACAAAATTAAAAAAAAAAAAATATCTAAATTAAAAAAAAAAACAAAAAAATTAAAATTATACTTTAGTTTAATTTTAAATAAAAATTCAATCTTTTTAATAATAATAAAAAATATAGAATTTATAAATATAGAAGATACAGATGATATAGAAGATATAAGTAATACAGATGATGATAAAACAGAAGATACAAGCAATACAGAAAATGCAGATGATATAGAAAATATTAGTAATATAGAAGCTGCAGAAGTTATGAACATAGAACCAAACACTATTACAAAAATACCATCTTTATATAGCCCAACAGCAAGTAGTAGTAAAAAAACAGATCATCACCTATATAGAACTATATAGACAAACTAATAGTAAAAAATCAAGTTATTGCAAAAATTTGTAAGGTTGAAGGATGTAGAACAAAATATAGTACTACAACAGCTACTGGTATTCTAAATACACATCTTAGAAATAAACATAATATTATACTTAGTTTAAGAACAAATTGTTTACATTAATCTTAAGAACCAAATAGTAAAAATAATATTAAATGTAAACAAAAATGCCTTAATGCTACTGTTGATCTTATAATTGGCACACAACTTCTATTTTTATTTATTAAAAATTATTAGTTTTTAAAGCAGTAAATGTTTATAATCCAAGAAATAAATTACTATCAGTCAAATATTTAAAAATATAATAATATCTCGATTTGAAACTTGGCATACATATATTGCAAAAGAGCTTAAAGAACTTACAACTAAAGTTGCACTTACTGCTGATATTTGAACATCAAGTTCAAACCAAGCATATCTTGAAATTACTATATATTATATAAATAATGAATGGAAGATGTGTCATTTTTTACTTGATATTATTCATTTTAAATATAGTTATAGTGCACTACATATAAAAAAAAAGCTCAATAAAATTTGTGAAAAATAAATATTGCTAATAAAGTAATTTCATTAACACAGACAATGCATCTGCAATGGTTTTATGTAGAGAAATTATTGAAGAAGAATGGAATACTTTTGAATTTTGCTATTATCATTATACTGCTCATATTTTTAATATTGCAGTAAAAAATGGTATAGAATTTCAGGCCACAGTAATTGTTAAAGCTCAAAAGTTTATAAATTGTATTTGTAATTCAACAATTTTATATGATAGACTTCGAGATTTTTTCAATATAACTAGAAAATGCTATAATACATTAAGTATTACTAGAATAGCACTTATCATATGCTTTATTAATTTAAAAATCTGTATAATGAACTCAATCTTCTTAAAACTTCATATCCTAAACTTGATAATAATTACCCTGATGAAGAGGAGTGACAAAAGATTAATAATATAATTTTTTGCTAGAACTAATGCTCTATTTAACAGAAATTCTTTCAATAAGTTCATTTCCATTATTGCCAATGTTTGTTTAACTTTTCTTGAAATTATTCACTATATAGAGCTATTTATAGCCAATCAATCATATTCAGAAGATGAACACACAATGGCATATTTAATTAAAAATAAATTAAACAATTATTGGGCTATTTTTAACTCTGATCAATCCTTGATCTGACATCTAAACTAACTACATTTTCATATTTTAGTAAGAAAATATTGCTTTTATTAGTTTATAAAATATGATAAATCAGTATGAACCACCAGCTTCATCTTCTATATTAGTAATTAATAATAAAAGAAGATAGTTTATATCATTAATTTTGCAACAAACTATTATGCTACTTGCAGAAGAGTTAGATACATATTTATCTATACTGCCCATATTATCATTTATTAAAAATACTTCTCTTCAATGGTGGGCTGCTAATAGATACAATTAACTAACACTTGCAAAGATAGCACAAAATTATCTTGCAATCCAAGCAACAAGTGTTCTTGTAAGAAAACATTTTCAATAGCTTCAAGAAAAATTTCTAAACTTCGTAATTGTCTTAAATCTAATACTGCTTATGCATTACTTTGCTTAAAAAGTTGGATAGAAAATAATATTGGTATACAAAAATAAGTATTTTTAGTATTCTAAGTTTTTTTAAAAAATAAAAAACTTTGAAAAGTATTAAAAAAATACTAATTTTAATAAATTATAAATAAAATACTGTACTATATATTATTTTTTTATTTTTTGTTTCTTAATTGCTATAAATTGTTAGAAAAATTTAGTTAGTGCTTATTTAGTAATTTTTTAAAAGTAGTAAATGAAAAAAGTTTATTACTTTAGATAGAAAGAATGTTCATTATGGTTAACATGTTCAATATAGTCAACATAGTATATATAGCACACATAGTATATATAAATAATATAGTAAATATAGATATAT